ATGTTCAGATATAATGGCTTCAGCAAATAAGAAATTTAGAGTCTCAAAATTGAATGGCAACAATTATGAGATTTAGAGTCTCAAAATTTAGTATGTGCTGGAAGAGCAAGAGGCGCTCGAAGCTCTTAACCAGGTTATGGAAGAACCTGAGGATGGGATTACTGTGCAATATAAAATGGATAAAGATGCCTATACTGCGTGGAAAAGGAAGAACTCTCTTGCTCGCATTACGTTACTAAGCAACATGGAGAATGATATTATACGAGAGTTCAGACGTTTTAAGAATGCCAAAGACATGTGGGCCATACTGGCAGCAAGATTTGGTCAAACTTCTGTGACCAAACTGAAACAACTCACATTACAAAAAAACATGTAATTTGCTATGGAAATTTGCGACGGAAATTTTCCGTCGGAAATTGCGACGAAATTTGCGACGGATTATATTTTCCGTCACAAATTGCGCAAGACGGATTTATTTCCGTCGCAAATTTGCGACGAGAATTTGCGACGGATGAAAAATTCGTCGGAAATTTGCGACGGAAATAAACCGTCGCTAATTTGCGACGGAAAATATAATCCGTCGCAAATTTGCGACGAAAAAAAGTTCGTCATAAATTTCCGACGGAAAAAAAAACCGTCGCAAAATCCGTCGCAAATTTGTGACGGAAAGAAGTTCATCGCAAATTTGCAACGGAAAATAAATCCATCGCAAAAAAGTTCGTCGCAAATTTCTGGCGGACAAAAAAAACCGTCGCAAATTTGCGACGAAAACGAACGTCCGTCGCAAATTTGTAGTTTATCAGCCCGTGATATTCCAACCCTATCTCTCTCTCTCTCTCTCTCGCTCTCTCTCGCTTTTCTCCCTCTTTCATATGTCTAAAATCAGCAAAATCCACGCACGCACATATTAATCTCGGTGAAGCTTTTGTACCGGTAAGTATCATAGCTAGCTTTGTGACTATTCATCGTTGAATTGTAATTTCTTTTATTTTATATATGTTTATGTTTGTTTTTTTTTCGTATCTGCATCACCGGTTTAACGACCGGCAACCGGCGACACCTCGCCGGCCTTTGGATGAGGCCGAATGGCCACGCCGTTTTGCGACGGAAATAGTTTCCGTCGAAAATTTGTGACGAATAAATGAAAATTCCATAGCAAATTTGCGACGGAATTAACTTTCCGTTGCAAATTTGCGACGGAATCAAGGATCCGTCGCAAATTTGTGAGGGATGAATTCCGTTTCCATCGCACATTAAAAATTATTAAAAAATGATTCTTAAGTGATTATTCTTTTTGGATATGTGTCTAATTGAAGGTCTCGCAATCCAAGTGGACGTTGCAATTCTCATCAAATTGACCACTTTCTCCTACCAATATTTCAGTCAAATATTTGGGTAAGTCTTCTTTACATGGTAATTTTTTCTATTTTTGTAATTTCATATTAATTGTTGCGTGAATAACAAAAATTATAATTTCCAAAATTTTATGGTTTTAATTAAGAACAATAGATATGATATTTTAAATATTTTACCAGAATTTTTTTATTTTAATACAAACACAATGCAAAGAGAAAGGGCTTGGATGTATAATAAGAACTTACCGGACGTCAAGGATTGATGGATGAGTTTAAATCTTGGGTTGGAACTATTTTTAGACTTTGCTAGTAGTAAATATGAGTTCATGGATGGAAATAAGTTAAGGTGTCCGTGTAAAAAGTGCGGTAATGGTAAATTTCTTGTGTGTGATCAAGTTAGAGAACACCTTACTAGATTTGGGTTTAGTCCGAACTATTATAATTGGACTTCCCATGGTGAACCATTTATATCTGATGAAGGATATGGAAGAAGTGACCAATTTTCAGTTAGGGAAGAATGTGGCTATTATGAGCAATTGAACCCATACGAGAGGATGGTGATTGATGCAGCTAGTTATAATTTTGTCACAGAATCAAATCATGCAAGTACTAGTTTTACTCCTACACGTGAACAAGTGGGTACTAGTCATGCTTTACAATTGGAAGATATAGGAGTAACGGGTTTTGATGAGAATGTCTATAATGAAACTTTTCAATTTAATCGGTTACAGGATGTGTTGAAAGCGCGCAGATGAACCTTTATGGGCAGGTTGTGAGGACCACACTAAGTTATGTCGTGACGCCCGACTATTAAATATCAAGGCAAAGCATAATGTGTCTGCGGATTGCTTCAACTCTTTTGTTGAAGCAATGCGGGAATCATTGCCTCGTGATAACATCATGCCAAGTGATTTTTATGATATGAAAAAGCTAGTGGATAACTTAGGTCTTCCGGTTGTAAGGATTGATGTATGTAGTAGGGGTTGTATGATATATTGGAGAGATGATGAAAATGCAGAATCTTGCAAATTCGTAGCCAACCTAAGTACAAGATTAACGGGAGGCCGGGTTCGTAATCGAAGCGTAGACCATGCAAGCAAATGTTTTATCTACCCTTAATCCCCAGATTGCAAAGGCTTTATGCGTCTAAAGCCTTGTGAACACATGACTTGGCATGCAAATCATGAAACAGAAGAGGGTCTAATGTGTCATCCTTCAGATGCGGAGGCATGGCAACATTTTGATAGAACATACCCTGAGTTTGCGATGGAGCCTTGGAACATCAGATTAGGTCTCTGTGCCGATGGATTTGCTCCATTTGGGAAAACAGGAAAAAGTTATTCATGTTGGCCAGTTATCTTAATGCCGTACAATCTTCCACCTGGTATGTGCATGAAGACACCTTATATGTTTTTGACATTGATCGTGACAGGGCCGCAAAATCCGAAAAAGTTGATAGATGTTTATATGCATCCATTGATTGAGGAGTTACAACGGCTATGGGTTGAAAGTGTCCCTACGTATGACGTTTCTACCGATCAAACATTTGTAATGAAGGCTGCCCTTCTTTGGACGATAAATGACTTTTCAGCTTACGAAATGTTATCTGGATGGAGTACAGCTAGGATCTTAGGATGTCCGATATGTTTGGAGAGGTCAAAGTCATTTAGATTAAAACATGGAAAGAAGCCCAGCTATTTTGACTGTCACAGACAATTTTTACCGTCAAGTCATCCTTTCAGAAGGAATAAGAAAGAGTTCACCAAGAATAGGACTGAAAGAACGCGTCCATCATTGAGGTTGACCAGCGATCAAATTTGGGAGCGTGTGCAGGACTTTTCAACTGTTGTTGAGAACCCGCACGGCACGACTTTTGCGTATGGAAGTACACATAAGTGGACAAAACACAGTATATTTTGGAATCTACCATATTGGAAGGCCCATCTTATTCATCATAATCTTGATGCCATACACATAGAAAAGAATGTTTTGACAATGTCATAAATTGTGATGGATGCGCCGGAAAAACAAAAGACAACTTGAACGCAAGAAAAGATATGAGAGATATTTGCGATCGGCCAATACTAGTGTGGATGCAAGCGGCGGGGGACCAAAACCGAAAGCGGTTTATACATTGGATAAGGAGCAGAGGCGAGTTGTTTGTCAATGGTTGAAATCATGCGGTTTCCTAATAGATATGCTTGAACCTCGAGAGATGTGTTGATTTGAATGAATGCAAGTTCACAGGTTTGAAGAGTCATGATTGTCACATCCTGATGGAAAGACTAATTCCAATAGCTTTGAAGGAAGTTCTACCGAACTTTGTATGGGGCGCCATTATAGAGTTAAGCAATTTCCTCAATGATATTTGCTCGACAGTGTTAAAAGCATCGCACATGAAAAAACTAGAGAGAGATATTCCAATTTTTCTTTGCAACTTAGAAAGGATATTTCCTCCAGCGTTTTTTGATTCGATGGAGCATCTCTTAGTTCACTTGCCTTATGAGGCCAAAGTTGCAGGTCCCGTCCAATTTCGATGGATGTATCCATTTGAGAGGTAATGTTTTTTTTTAAAATACAGTTCAAATTAGTTTATCATATAATATGTTCCGATAAGCTTTTTTTTATTTCAACTAGATTCTTATATCATTTGAAGAAAAAAGTGAAGAATAAGGCACGTGTTGAAGCTTCAATATGTAATGCATATATTGTGGAAGAAGTGACAACATTTTCATCATAATATTTTGAGCCGCACGTTCGGTGCAAGAGGCGGAGAGCAGGCAGAAATGATGAGGGCCCCATTGATCCCAATTGCACAGCATTCTCTATTTTCAATTATGCGGGTCGACCAAGCGGCGCGTGTCGGTTTCGTTACTTATCGGGCGAAGAATTTCATGTAGCCCATACTTATATTTTACTGAACTACCCAGAAGTCGAACCATACTTCAAGTAAGTGTAAATTTGCAATATATGTTTTGTGTGTCAAATATTTGCTAATATTTATATGGTTTTTAATATTAGGATTTTCCAAACTTCAATGTTTGGACTACAACCAAATGAGTTTGACCGTTTGTTCGATGAACAATTTGCAGCATGGTTCAAGACATATGTAAGTTGCCTATGGACCAAAATCAAGTTATTAAAATTATATACATCATTTAGTATAATATATATTATTGACTTTACATGTATAACCTTAGGTTCACAGTAATTAGGGAAAATTTCAAAAAAGGACCCAAAGTGGGGTCATTTTCCCAAAAGAGGGTCCAAAGTGGACGTAGTGCCAAATAAGGGCCTAAAGTGCCCAATCGAGTCTCAAATTGAGGCCCAAGTTTCCAATCGCCTCTCAAGTTAGGGCACTGGCCGCCGACCGGTCAAATGCTCACCGGCCGGCGAGCAAGTTACTGTTCCGGCGAGGGCAGTTTTGTCCAAATAAAATCTGAATCAAAGGAAAAAGCAATTTTATAAAAACAAAACTTGCGTTTTTCTTTTTCCAACCCCAACCCACTTCGATAAAAAGAAAACCCTCAATCCACTCGATGAGCGAAAGGATGACCGAAAGGCGAGGCGGTGGGTGACGGCGGTGCGTGACCGGTCGGCGGCGTGCGATCGGCGGCGGGGGCAGCGACGTGTGACCGGGCGATCATGTCTTTCCTTCACCCATCTTCTACAGCTACAAGAATTGATCCTCCGTTCGTGCTCGCATTCGAAGGATTGACGGTGAAGTTCCCCGCCTCCACGACATTCTCTGCGATTTTGCGCTTACCAAATTTGTTCTGGGTTCCTCTTTCGGCTCATGAATGTTTCGATTCGGACAAAATCCGTAAGCGTCGAACGTGCGTACGAAGATTCCTGATCTTGTCTCCATCCCGGAGATGCTATTTTGCAGCGTGTTCCTAAGTTCGCTGGACATGTCGAAATGGTAAAGTGGGCGCATATTCATTGTTAATCTCGCGCGTCCAAGAACAACGATTCGCTGCAATGCGGATCGGCTTTTTGTTTTGGAGCGATCTGCTGAATCGGTGTGTTAGGTCGGAGGTGGAAGATGTGTTCTGTCGCTTTGCGATGTTGTGGGAAAAGATGAAATTGGAGAATTGAAGCAAATTTACTCCGTATCCGAATAAATGTTGTTGTTTTCTCTCTTTGAAGTTCGAAGAAGACTCTCTGGCACAAACAATCTCTTGAACATGGATTACCTCTTTGGGGTGGCATGAAAATAGGGATTAGAGGATGCACCTCAGCGGAGAACCTCTCCTACGATTCACACAAAGCGTTCGTGTCTTTCGTTGGGTGAATCCGTCGAGGTTAGTTTTCCAAATTGGAGCTCTGATTTGAAATCCTAATTTTTCTAATCTTCAAATTTCATTTGTTTCTCAGTTCCTAAATTGGTTCAACTTGTCTTTCCTCCATCCAAAAGAAGGCGATTGCAATATTTGAAGTAACATGTTGACAAGGCGTGGGCATGTCGTGGAATACTACGAATGTAGCGACGACAGTGAGTTGATTATTTATAGTGCATTTTCTGATTGTAAAGGAATAAGCCGTGGTCCCTTTACGTCCTCCGTGGTCCATACTTTTCAATTTTTTTACTGTTTTCATGAACCCACTATCTCATGTTTTATCGTTTATTGCATGAACCCCATTCTTAAATTGTGGAAGTAGACTACAATTTCTCTATGCTAGATTTCACACAAAGCCCATTCTTAAATTTTGCGAGAAAAGGTGGGTCGCAATTGAAGGAATACTATTTATCACTCGCTAAAGAAAATTTTGTGAGAGTTTGTTTTGTCCCTTCCTAAATTCGTTTCCATGGATGTCAGTTTCCTAAATTGATCCATTTTTGTTTTAAACCACGATTTAATTTGTCCTGATAATATGCGTGGCTTCTCATAAATTATGTGAAAAGATGTATTGGGTTTGCTTCATGCGGAGTAGACATGCTCTATTTGGAATGCTAGCTGCGATTATTCCACTCGGAGCAATTTGTAATCGTGGTCTAATTTATGGACCAGTCTCAAATAAAATTTTCAATTTATGGACCGGTTTCATTATCGGATTTAAAGTTTTCCATCAAAGTCGTTTCCAAATGTTGCAAATGATAACAATTTTCTTCCTTACACTGCTTTGTATAAGGCTTTTTTTTCCCTACTTATACGTTACGGACGGGTTCTTTTGAATATGTTGTGATTGCAAATTGTGTTTCCTTTGTGTATAGATTTAAGTTGGTGTGATTCTGTTTAATTTATATACGGATTTGGAAACGTATTGATTGTTTTTGCTTCCATTTTGCACCAGGTGAGGGGTGTGAAGAAGTGAACTATACCATGTCTGATAGTAGGTGTGTTGATGGCATTGAAGAAGATGGATTTGACATTATTGATCTTGATGAATTATACAGAAGAAATGTACGATGTATTGAGGGTGAAGGTTCAATGGGGAGGGGTATGGAGGTTGGAGAGACTAGTTTGCATGTAGATACATTATCTGATAATGTAGATTTCCTGAATATGAGTAGTCAAGTTGAGTATACACATCCCGAGTACAATGCTGAGGTTGATATGGAGAATCTTGTCTTCAAGTTGGGGATGTACTTTAACAATGCTAAAGAGTTTAGAGAAGCAGCTAGGAATCATGCCATAAAAAATGGGAGACGGGTGAGGTTCACTAAGAATACACCTAAGAAGTTAAGAGTAGTGTGTTCTGACGGTTGTGATTGGCTCATATATGCTTCCAAAGTGCAGAGGGAGCATACTTTACAAGTTAAAACCTTTAACCCCGTGCATACATGTAATAGAGCACTATATGTTCCTCAAGTAAGCTCTAAATGGTTGGCAAACAAGTATTGTGATAGGTTGAGGAATAATCCAACATGGCCGGGTGCTTCACTGAAGAAAGCAATGGAGTCAGAGAATGTTTTGAAGCTGTCCAAGACAATGGTCTACAAAGCTAGGGCTATAGCAATGAGTATGATTATAGGGAATGAAGATGAGCAATTTCGGATGCTTAGAAGTTATTGCCAAGCACTTCTTGATTCCAACCCAGGATCCACCTGTGTAATCAAGAGTGAGCAATGTCAGGACCAATTCAAGTTTAGAGGAGTCTACATATGTCTGGATGCATTGAGGAGGGGTTTTCTAGAAGGATGTAGGCGCTTTGTAGGGTTTGATGGTTGCCACTTGTCATCTGGCTACAAGGGCATACTTCTAGCGGCTGTTGGCATAGATGGAAATGATCAGATGTATCCATTTGCATGGGCACTCGTTGGACAAGAAACATACAAGACATGGCATTGGTTTATTAGTATGATTGCCGAAGATTTGGGAATTACATGCACCCCGCAAATTCAAAGTACTTGGGCCTTTTTGTGTGACAAGCAAAAGGGATTGGTGCAAGCACTAGCAAATGTAATGCCTGAAGCAGAAAATAGATTTTGCTTGAGGCATCTTTACGAGAACTTCAGGCTGCATCACAAAGGACTAGAACTTAAAATTTTGGTTTGGAAGGCTGCCATGGCCACTAGGGTATGTGATTTTGACTTGGCAATGGAAGAGCTTAAGGCAGTTGATGGAAAAGCTTATGATTGGTTGTCCCAGAGGCCACTGGTGCAATGGAGCAAGTCCCACTTCAGGACAGGATCAAAATGCGACGCTTCCTTGAATAACTGGTGTGAAAGTTTCAACAAGAGCATCATTGACGCTAGGGACAAGCCTATAATCACATTGCATGAAGCTATAAGAATGCAACTCATGGAGAGGATTCATAAGCAAAGGGATGGATTGGCTAAGTACTCTGGTGTGATTTGTCCTAAGATCCAAGAGATATTGGATCTTCAAAAAAAGTATTCAGCATCATGGATTCCTACATGGAATGGGGAGAATGAGTTTGAATTGAGTGGGCCATATGGAGACAAAAGAGTTGTTAACATCAGACACAGAACTTGTAGCTGTAGAAGATGGGACATTAGTAGAATCCCTTGTTGTCATGCTTTGTGGCGGTTGTTGTATACCCGAGGGAACAACCGAAAAATGGGTTCACACGTGTTTCAAGATGGAAAAATTTAGGCAAACTTATAGCCATGTTGTGCATCTTGTAGATTCCAACGATACATGGCCTGCTAGAGAGCATTTACTCCCACGGATGTGCCCAAGCAAGTTGGTAGAAAGAAGAAACAAAGAACAAAGTCGGTGAATGAAGTTGCTGATAGCAATTTAAAGACAAGGAAGAAGAAAGTTGTGCGAGAGCCTGTGGGAATAAAGTTGAAGAGACAGAACACCACAATCACTTGTGGAAAATGTGGTGGGTTAGGCCATACATGTATCATTGCAAGAATCAATCAAGAGCATCAACAACGACAATAGCAAAGAACATCATCAGCCCTAACAACTTCTACATCCGCCTCATGCTCACAATATGTGGTAGAAAGCACTCCCTCAGCCCCAACATCACAAAGTGAGACAGTTGAACTGCTTGCGTCATTTTTTAACAACATTTCAAGCTCAACATCATCTATCGGAAGAGAGAAGATGCAAGTATTCATCTATGCTTGACTTTGTCATAAAAGTGTTCTTACTTGTGCTTGACTTTGTTTTGACTAATTATTTATTTTTTATTCAACTGTAGGTAAAAAGGAGGATGTGAAGACGAGCAATTTTTTGAGATATGCAAGACCAACAAGACCAACAACACAAATTCTTTTTTCTTTTACTAGTAGTTGACATGGATGGGTCTGAATGAGTCCATTTTGGAAGCATCTCAATGTATAGGTCTACTGTGTTTAGAAAATTGGGATGTTTCTCTATTTTGGCATGATAAAGGATATGAAGGTTCAAAGCGAATAGTTGAAGCTGTGAAAGGTAAAGGTGCATTTACAATTGGGGTTGCTGGTTTTTGTAGGGGAGGTGAGTAGCTTTGTTATGAATGATTTTTTGTTATGCATTTGAATTATATTGCTAATACTATCTTAAAGTAGTTGCAATACTGTTTGTATTGCAGGAACTTTTCAAAGCCAATACTATCTTAAAGTAGTTGCAGGAACTTATCTATGCATATGGCTTGCATAACGGAGAAAAAGTATGTCCTGATGGCTTGGAAAGTTGGAACAGCACTTTGTATGACTATACATATATGATTATCTGGTGAAATAAACATTTACACAGCCCACAAGACACTAAAGATGTGATGCTTATTTACAGGTTTTTTGTAGGATCATTCTTGCAGGTGGTAACTTTAGTGCAAGTGATTTGCTACATGAAGGTCAGTTTTCCTGTTGCGTAACGATATTTTTTTCGCGTAACTTACTTCCATACCATTTGAAATTTTACAGCACCAGGATCGTGTTTCTCACTTTCGTCTTTCTGGAGCAAGGGAACGGACTTGAAGGTTTACCACTGAGTCACTCAGTGGAGGAGGAATGCTTGCTAGATGAACGCGTATACACGTACTTTTGCTATTGTATAAGGCATATTGACTTCGACATCAATGAAAGGAAGATTACTCATGAAGTTGAACCTTTAAAGTTTCTTTTTTTCTTCTGGTCTCTTTCTTCATGAGTCATTGGCCAACTGTTTTATTTTAAGGTATATTCAGTCGATCCAGTTTGGAAATTTCCACATTACTTGTAAGCAACTGGGTCTTGCCTCCTTATTAAAGCAGTTGGTTACTTATATCTCATAGTTTAGTAATGTGTGTCGCATTGGCATGATCCTGCAATGAGTGGTTATAATCTCTTACACGAAGGCACATTTTTGTGTGGAATGAAGGCACATTTTTCGAATATCCACTACAACTTGCTCGCTCCTCCATGATTCTTTCAATGTCATGCAATCCACCACTACTCTTCACCATGTTTTCTTTTGCTTGCTATGAATGTGAAAAACAGAACTTTCATGTCCCTTTACTTTGATCCTCTTTCAGGAGTATTCCTTAGTGGATAGCAAGTTCCAACGTTGAACTTAGGATTAGTGCAAGACGCTGACTTTTCTTTGCCAACTCATTGCTCCACTAACATGACAGACCTTGGTGTCCAATTTTTTGAATCTAGTGATATAAATCTTCTGAATGTGCGGTTGCAAGTAAATGGACTACAAGACAAGCAAAACTGAATTTGCACCCACATCAAAACATCAAAAGTTCCAAAAGCTTTCGAGTAAGAATGCTAAATGAAGAGGCCTTGAGGGTCATAATGCACTGTAAATATAGTTCTTGAGTAAAATAGTGAGCTATGCATGATTTCATCCTCTTTTCACATGGAAGCAGAACGCCAAAAAACTTTTGGAAAGCAAAAAACAGTTAATCCTCGAAAGCAAATGATATTCTTCAAGTCCATATGAATTCAATGCAGAAAACAGTTAAAATTGACATCCTACACTTTATAAAAGAATATTAAAGCAGTACAGTTTACACATGACACTAATAATATATCATAATCTTACTCGACAAATTACATCAAGGCTTTAACTACGTATATACCAACAAAAACCATCAATACCAAAAACCAGCACATCGGGATGCATCGGTGACAACATCGGCGGGAAATTCCCCATCGATCTTATTGTCTCGCTTTGACATCATTGTACAGAATAATCCAAGGACATCTGCGGCCGAAATTGTTGAATCCAATCGACAATTACAAGGAACAAATGGCCAACACCCAAAAGGCGTAACATTGCAAATAGTCAAACCGATGTTTAATTACTTCATCACTCCACCGGATGGCGCCATTCTAGCTCACTATATCGACCTCCATAGCTCCGAACCTGCAGTTCGAAAGCGCGCAGGAAGCAGACTTGGGGTCCGCCGCGCAAACGGACTCATAATATGAGCAAGATGAGTCAACTTCCATCACCGAAGCCCTTGGAGGAGACGCCGGTTGCACCTCGACATCGTGGTAAGCCTCGCTTAAATCTTGCTTGCGGCCCTTCTTCTACTAATCGTGCGCCGCTCAACCGATTACCAAGTGACAACCACTCGAAAATGACACGAACCATCAAAAGAGACCTCAAGGCAACGATAATACCAGGATGAGATTCTTTTGGTAAAAATTAATCAATATACATGACAAGAGGGCCTTCACCCTGGAAGAGTGACAATCCTAAGGTTCGGGCAAAACACATGCATTACCCACTTATTAATCATTATGAAATTGTTTGTTCATCGATATATACAAAGTGGTCCAAAATGCCTAGACTCTTCTACCGTCCATTGTCCATAAGAGGAATATGCAAGTTTCACTTTTCTTCGGCAGCTTATTCTTATTTTCAAAAATAAAGGACAGTAAATTGAATAACAATACCCTGCATGAGTGTTGTGCATGCGAGCAAACAACTCTAATTTTCTTGTCCTTGGACTAATCCTCTCCAAGCATTCGATACATCTCGCAAAACAGTGCTTTCGTTAGCATAAATTACAACGGACAATCTACGTTCTATAATATTTGAAAAACTCGAGAGATGTGGCTTCTGCGGTGCACAAGTTAGGTTGCACCAGCATCTTTAGGTATATATAAAGACATTCACCATTTTAAGATCATAAAAGTGCTCAAGAAACCCGGAAGACGCAAAAAAACAGATTTCACGCAGTTTGGATCGCATAAGAATTAGTGTGTGTTATTCACTAACCTCGCCTCGCCTGGGGGTTTGGTACCTTCTAGTAATTACTTAGAAGCTGTTTGCTTGTTTAAGACTTCCATCGTGGAATTACTACTGGCAACAAGGGAAGTAAAAATATCAAAGTGTGAATGTGCTGCACTCCCACATAAGAAACACTTAGAAGCCAAATGACACCATCAGCTCCTTAAAAAATTGACAAAATTACAAAAGTCCACCGCACACGACCTAGCCACAGAGAATGAATCCAAGAACTGAGTATTTGCAATACAATTACTTAACAAACAACCGCCACACACAACTGTTGAGTACCTTTTCACACGATATAAAGGACTCGGATTAGGCGTCTGCAATCTTCTTTAGCGAGTGATAAACAGTATTCCTTCAATTGCAACCCACCTTTTCTCGCAAAATTTAAGAATGGGCTTTGCGTGAAATCTAGTATAGAGAAATTGTAGTCTACTTCCACAATTTAAGAATGGGGTTCATGCAATAAACGATAAAACATGAGATAGTGGGTTCATGAAAACAAAAAAATTGAAAAGTATGGACCACGGAGGACGTGAAGGGACCACGGCTTATTCCTTTACAATCGAAAATGCACTATAAATAATCAACTCACTGTCGTCGCATCTTATCGTAGTATTCCACGACATGCCCACGCCTTGTCAACATGTTACTTCAAATATTGCAATCGCCTTCTTTTGGACGGAGGAAAGACAAGTTGAACCAATTTAGGAACTGAGAAACAAAAGAAATTTGAAGATTAGAAAATTTAGGATTTCAAATCGAGCTCCAATTTGGAAAACTAACCTCGACGGATTCACCCAACGAAAGACACGAACGCTTTGTGTGAATCGTAGGAGAGGTTCTCCGCCGTAGGTGCATCCTCTAATCCCTATTTTCATGCCACCCCAAAGAGGTAATCCATGTTCAAGAGATTGTTTGTGCCAGAGAGCCTTCTTCGAACTTCAAAGAGAGAAAACAACGACATTTATTCAGATACAGGTAAATTTGCTTCAATTCTCCAATTTCATCTGTTCCCACAACATCAGTAAAGCAACGTAACACATCTTCCACCTCCGACCTAACACACCGATTCGGCAGATCGCTCCAAAACAAAAGCCAGTCCGCATTGCGGGCAATCGTTGTCCTTGGACGCCGAGATTAACAATGAATATGCGCGCACTTTACCATTTCGACATGTCCAGCGAACTTAGGAACACGCCGCAAAATAGCATCTCCGGGATGGAGACAAGATCAGGAATCTTCGTACGCACGTTTGACGCTTACGGATTTTGTCCGAATCGAAACATTCATGAGCCGAAAGAGGAACCCAGAGCAAATTTGGTAAGCACAAAATCGCAGAGAATGTCGCGGAGGCGGGGAACTTCACCGTCAACCCTTCGAATGCGAGCACGAACGGAGGATCAATTCTTGTAGCTGTAGAAGATGGGTGAAGGAAAGACACGATCGCCCGGTCACACGTCGCTGCCCCCGCCGCCGATCGCACGCCGCCGACCGGTCACGCACCACCGGTCACCCACCGCCTCAGTCTTTCAGGTCATCCCTTTCGTTCATCAGAGTGGATTGAGGGTTTTCTTTTTATCAGAAGTGGGTTGGGGTTGGAAAAAGAAAAACGCAAGTTTTGTTTTTATAAAATTGCCTTTTCCTTTGATTCAGATTTTATTTGGACAAAACTACCCTCGCCGAACAAATTTGCCAGGCCCTAACTTGACGAGCGATTCGGCTTTACGTCGATTGGGCCAAATTTGGACTCTTATTTGTATTACGTCCACTTTGGACCCTCTTTTGGGAAAATGGCCCCACTTTGAGTCCTTTTTTGAAATTTTCCCCAGTAATTATGATGAAATTGGAGGGCAAGGATTGCTATATCATCTGTCATGGGGTCCACAGTTAAGAGTTCGAAGTTGGCCAGCATATTTCATAAATGGATATAATTTTCATACTCAAGAATATGGAATGAGAAAATCCACAATGAATAGTGGTGTGTCTGTTCGGTCATCCAATGGTGGCAGTTCAGAAGATGATTTTTATGGCTTGTTGGATGAAATCATATAGATAGAATACCCTGGACCATTAATGATGCGGGTTGTGTTATTTAAGTGCACGTGGTTCGACCCCATCAAAGGAATGAAGGTGCATACGAAGTTCAATTTGGTTGAAAAAAATCACAAGAAAAGGTATATGAAGTATGAACCATTTGTCTTGGCACAACAAGCAATTCAAGTATGTTATGCATCATATCCTAGTTTGAAACGTGACAAAGCTGATTGGTGGGCTGTATGTAAAATCAAAGCACGGAGGAAAATCGAGGAACTTTGGAAGGATAGAGCCTACCAACAAGAGGAAGTGTGTAACACGGTTGAAATTGAAGAATATAACATACCAACTTTACGAGATCCGTGTGGAGTAATGATAGATGTGGATCCAATTGAAATTTGCGAATTAAATGTACAAGAATGTTCAGAATCTGATTTTCAGACAGATGACGAAGACGAGGACGAAGACGAAGATGAAGATTAAAATTTTTGTCACAAAACACTACAGATGTGTAATTATTAATGCTACAAGTGCTATTTTGGTTGTTATCATTATTGTTATTGTTATTATTGTTATTGTGCTTTTTTATTATTGTTATTGTCGATTATTCTTTTTATTTTAATTGATCGTCCGAAATTTTGTCCCTGAATGCCGACAAGTCAAATATTATTAACGTGCCCTAACATTTCCGATATTCTAATTTCCATTGCAAAATTTGAGATGCCAAAATTTTGGACTGAAAAAAAGACGTAGCAAATTTAGGACCCAAATAAATGAGATGCTAAATTTTTGATCAAAAAAAAGACATCACAAATTTACAACGATCATG